AATACATGTCCTATGTTGAACAATTTAAAAACTTGGCAAGCTGCAGTTTGCATCTCTGATATATCTCCATTTTCTTCCTTTCAGAAATAAATAATACATCTGGCCATGACTGTGAAAGTGATCCTAGCTTGTTCAAGACTAGGCAGTGCCGTTTACGATGTGAGGACTGTTAAACTAGTTCAAAGTTTCCTATTTAAAGTGTTTTTTCAGAAATATTTTTTTTTCCAACATAATTTTTGGAAAAATACTTTGTTACTGACCAAACTTCACTCTTTGATATCTGCCTGGAGTAGGCTTCTGGAATTGGTGTAAAATTTGACAAAGAAGAAACAGTAGGCAAGAAAGCTCCAAGGTATTTATCCTGTGTTTGTCATGTTTTGACATGGAAAAACAGCCAAGCAGCTCCTATACAGAGTAATATTTCAGATATTTTATCACTGTTGATGCACAGAAGACAGCATACAAATTCAAGCAAATTCTTTCTTACTTTAAAGTGTTAACACACATCTACATATCGGATGCATACTAACATATAACTGCTGACTGGCCACACACATACACACTAACTTAAGCACATTAGTCAGTTTTAGGACAGCCCCTTTAACAGATGCTTACCTCTCTGCCAGTAAAACGCTTGAGCTCAGTCAGCTGCAGTGAACTCTCCCTATTGTCCTCTTCCCACTGCACACCACTGCACTGGTGAGTTCAATCAGCCTTACAATAGTGACATTAAGATTTGTTTATTAATAATTTAGACTTCTTTGTGAAATGTACATATGCATATTTTGCTGGTTAATTTTGGTTTTGCAATTATAATAATTATTATATTATATTATTATAAATGACTGTACAGTGAAGGGAGAAAAAAAGTGTCTTTAAATGAGTGGGATCAAACAGAGCATGAGTAGTAAGCTGAACTTTCAAAATGAGTCATGAGTACTCTTTTTTTTTTTAAATTGCACATTCTCTCGAGGTATCACAGCTGTTTTGAATTGTTTGTGATCACATTTAAACTAATCCCTAAAAGTTTGTCACAGTGACCTGAATCAAACTAACTTTACAGTCTCCTCAGCTGATACAAAGCTGAAGAAATGCAAGTTTCTACTTTGATGTGGAAGGTAACAGTAACACTGTTAAATGAGTAACTATTTATTTATTATTTATTATAATTTTACTACACTTTTTTACTTTACAAAACTGTGTGTGTCTTTTAACAAGTTATTGATTTACTAACTGAGCCCTGATACGTAACAAGCTTTTAACAAACTACAGATTTGATGGCTTATTATAATGAGAATAACCCATGAGGATTTATCAATGGGTTACTGAAACTGTATTGATAACCCACAGCTGTGGAATCACTAAGACGTTTGATCAAAACAGATGATAAACACTGAAGATGATGAAGTAATGAGTCACCTCGCTTCTTTAATGAACTACTTCTTCTTTCAACATTTGTTTCCTGTTACTAGGAACTGTTTCTTGTACTGTTTTAAAGGTCCCTTATTACGCTCATTTGCAGGTTCATACTTTTATTTTTGAGTTTCTACTACAAAATGTTTCAAAAAACACATTATACATATGGACATACTGTCTGTTGCTACAGCACCTCCAGTCACCCTCTGTCTGAACGCTCTGCTCCATGTCTCTTTAAGGGCTCTCTCCCTAAAAGTCACTTTCTTCTGTAGGGGCAGCAACTAGCTAAATGTTAGTGCTATTGGCTTCTGAATTTAAAGAGTTTATTGCTTATCAAACCACACAAGACAAGATTTAGGTTGGAGAAATGATAAGACGTGCCTTTGGTGTGAGAGACCCGGGTTCAATCCCCCACTGTGTCCCATCCACCATTGTGTCCCTGAGCAAGACACTTAACCCCTAGTTGCTCCAGAGGCGTGTGACCTCAGACACGTATAGCATTTGTAAGTTGCTTTGGATAAAAGCGTCAGGTAAATGTAAGTATTTCTGTCAGCCTTACCCCACTGATTATGGTACAGAAATACACATTTATAACTTTATTCACTGATTTTGATGAAACATGCTCCATTTCTGACCTAAGCACACTGAGTCAGGTTCACAAAGGCTTTTCCGCATGTCCAGATGCTGAACACATTAAATCTCAACCTCCACCTGCCCCAATATGAGCTGCTTGACTCGCTCTGTCTCTCTCTTACTCCCTCCACTGGCTGCAGTGAATTGTGTATATCATCTGCTTCTTTGACTTGTCTTATTATATCACTTCATTTACTTTTTGTTTCTGGGTGTGTGTGTGTTTATAGTTTCCTATCTATTGGCCATGCGCGTCTGGAGGGCACACTTTACAATACTCCTCACAAATTGTACTCTATGGTAAAACATGCATATTTGATGTTGACTAATTTCTGGGAACAAGTATTGCAAACCAGTTGGGAGAGTCAGGATTTTTTTACTGCTCCAGTCAGCGGTTTCAGTTCTCTATTTTGAGAGTGTAACAAATGGGATCAACACAAAATGATGGAGCAGGCTTGAGGTTTTTGCTAACACTGCTAAGTACTTGAAAGCAGTTTGTCTCAGGAGTTTTATTTTTGTTTCAGAATACTTACAAACCCAGTAACACACCATCCATACCATCATTGACCGTGGAAAACAGTTGTGTTTCATGAGCAATTTCTACCAGCAAATAGATTAACATGGATCTTTAATGTCTCTTTGCCACAGGAAAAACTCAGCCATGAGTGTTGAGTATGACAACGAGCAATATAAGTTGTTCCTGGAATTATTCAATGAAACCTACGACACGACTGACCCGAGCTACGTGGTCAGTAATTCCGTCCAGCTCTGTGCCAAGAAGACTCTCAACCAGTTCGGTGCGAGATTCATCCCAGTTTTCTACTATACCAACTTCCTCCTGAGTTACCTTGGCAATGGGCTTGTCCTCTTTATCATCTACAAGTATGAGAAGCTCAACACCGTGACAAACATCTTTCTCCTGAACTTGGTCCTCTCCAACATTCTCTTTGCCTCCAGTCTCCCCTTCTGGGCGACATACCATCAGTCTGAGTGGATTTTTGGCACGGCTCTGTGTAAGATGGTCAGCAGCGCCTACTTCATCGGCTTCTACAGCTCCATCCTCTTCCTCACACTTATGACCTTTGACCGATACCTTGCGGTGGTGCATGCAGTGGCAGCTGCTAGGAGCAGGAAAAAGGCATATGCCATCGTCTCATCAGTGATAGTTTGGATCATCAGTATTGTAGCGAGTATGAAAGAGCTCGTTTTCCAAAACGTGTGGAAGAGTCCCTTCAATGGACTGATGTGTGAAGAGTCGGGATACTCTGAGAAAACCATGGAGCGCTGGCGTCTGTTCAGTTACTACCAACAATTCCTGGTCTTCTTCCTCCTCCCTCTGTTCATGGTGATGTACTGCTACATCAGCATCACCGTCCGCATCCTTTCCACCCGCATGAAGGAGAAGTGCCGCGCCATCAAGCTCATATTTGTCATTATCTTCACCTTCTTTGTCTGCTGGACGCCCTACAATATCGTCATCCTCCTTCGAGCTGTTCAGATCTCCAGCACCAGTGAAGACTCATGTTCTGATGCCGACACCTTGGACTATGCACTGTATGTGACCCGGAACATCGCCTATTTGTATTGTTGCATCAGCCCTGTGTTTTACACGTTTGTGGGGAAAAAGTTCCAGAGCCACTTCAGACGGCTGATGGCCAAGAAGATCCCCTGCCTGAAGAGACACATTAGCTTCAGCAGCCAGAGCACCAGATCCACCTCACAGAAGACAGCACACTCTGCTTATGAGTACTAGACACACAGACACGCGGACGCTTACACACACACAGGTATAAATGATCCGCATTGAAATAAAAAGCATGTTGTGCTTCAACAAAAGTGAGTGAGGCATGATAAAACCGACTCTTTATCTGTTTTAGCTCATTACACAGTGAAAGAGTTCTGTTTACTTGTGTTCTTCAGTTGGACTGGAAAACCAAATTTCACCCCAATGCTGTAAAATCTCATAATCAGTTATAAACAATCAAATCTTTTATCATTAAGTTCTTTTTTATCATTCAAGTTTGCCATTTTCAGACTGCTTCACTTAAATCATCCTAGTTCTCACATTAAAATGTTTACCTTTTTTATCAAACTTTTAAAAAAACATTTAATGTATTAACATTCTCTAGAAATGCTTCTTATTTGAAATAGGTTTTATGATAGGCTTGTGTCTTTTTTTCATTTAGCGGACGATTTTATCCAAAGCGACTTACAATTGCTATACATGTCAGGTCGCACGCCTCTGGACCAACTAGGGGTTAAGTGTCCTGCTCAGGGCCACAATGGGGGATTGAACCCGAGTCTCTCACGCCAAAGGTATAGTCTTATCCATTGCGCCATTACCACGCCGTATGTAGCTATTCTATATCTTCCTTATTGTCAACTAATCCCAATACGTTCTGGCTCTGTACCCAACAGTCACTTTCAGTTCCCAAGCCTATTGGTTCCTGCTGAAGACATATCTATTTATGTCTATGTTATATATAAGACAAATACATTGTGTAATTTTTCAAAAGGTTTAAGAGTACCCAGCCTTGAGGCAGACCTCGAGCAGCCCAGTGAAGAACAAAGAAAGAATTTAGCATGAAGTCATTGTTCAAGTTTATTTTTTTTGAGTAACTATAAGTAGTGCAGGTTTATATGTATGGCTTAAAGATTTTTGTATCAGCTTCAGACCTGCTCCTGGTCTGGTCCTTATGCTGAGTATTCCAGTCTTGTTGATTCAATGTTGGATGCAAAGTGTATGTTTGTAGATGCATTTTTACACATCTTGTCCAAGCTTTTAAATAAACCTTCCAATAAAATACCAATCAAATTGTTCCCCTGTGACATCTGTCCTTTTATGGAAACAATTTCTCACTTAACTGTTGTATTTTGATGGGTAGGACAAGTGATCGTTTCCCTTTTCTGACAGAACATCTGGAGCAGTTTCCTGTCGGTTAAACACTGGTGAATCAGTGTACTTTTGGAGAAACATATAATTATGTGGTTGAAGTGGTAATGTGTTGAAACTGTGTGATGAAAAAGGCTTCATGATACATAGAGTGTGAGTCAATGTTATTGCAAAATCCATATTGGACGAGTACATGGCAAACCACACAGCTCAATGACAACTTAAACTTAACAACAGCATGGAAAGCACTGTAATTAGTTCCAGGACACTTTTGTTATATAACATTTGATTTGAGTTTTTAAAACCACATAGTAGAAATGAGTATTAGTTTTTGTTACAATGTCATCTTTAAAGGGGTACTCCAGCTCTTCAGTATTGGATTTCCATAAAGTTGAGGCTGAAGGCTGAAGAGTTTAGCCCCAACCAACCTTAAAGATTTCTACATCACCTCTGACACTGTCACCCACAGTCTGTCTCAGAAACACAGCAACACTAATAGAGGTAAAGAATCCCGAGGAATACTCATATGGAATAAATCTGAAATACATAAGCAAAATGACCCCCTAAAATGGACAAATATTACGTGTGGAAGGAAAAGCATTTATGTGTTGTGCAAAATACAGGTGCATCTTAAAAAATTACAATTTGGTGGAAAAGTTTATTTTCTTTCGTAATTCAATAACCGAAACTTTCATATATTCTAGATTCATTACACATAAAGTGAAATATTTCAGCTCTTTTGTTGATTATGGTTTACAGCTCATGGAAGTCAAAACTCCAGTATCTCAAAGCTATTACAACTTTAGAATAAAGGAATGTCGACCTGAGAAGACCTCTACTGAGCTGAATAACTGCACCTGCAAATGTTTAATCTCTCAGTCTGGTTCTGGTGCTCTCAATGAACTCATCCATCCATCCATGTTCAAGCGCTTATCCCGCGTACCGGGTCGCGGGTGAACTTTTCCATGATATTCTATTTTTTTTAGATAGACCTGTATACGAGTGAGCCATAACGGAGATTGACACAGCAACCACAAGGAATGCTGGAAGCTCAGGTTCACTCCCACTGCAATGTTACATTGTTATTTTTTATCAGTTTGCCGTTGAACTAATCCATGATCTTTGCCTGATAACGTTACCCCGATAAGGTTGGATCCTACCCTTCTCCTGGTGTCTGGGGCCCGTAATAAACTCGGGTGGCACCCAACCTGAGTGTCCTTCTCCAATCATAATTAAACCTGTAATTACATTTTATTGTGACATGGTCCCTGTATGATACTTTTGTTTGGATAACCTGCCTGCACACTGACTCTTCACGATACATTTATTTCATGAGCTTCCCCCTACGTGCCTTATCTGTATTACTCTCATTCTCTGTGAATGAAAATTGTACTAATCTTCACTTTAATTAATTAAAGTCATGATTTCAGTGATGCTTTCAACAAGTTCTCCGTTGTAAGTCATGGATCAGGATCTAGTCATTCACAGGATGGCCAACGTACTTCTCAAAAGTAGTTTCTACCATCAAATAGTAAGGGGAAGTACTGGGCACTGCTCAGATAAATAGGTGTACTCAAACAAGCATAGTGCTCAGAGACTGAATCATGTGTACTAGCACCAGGGTACTACTTGTGTACGTACGCAGTTTACATGTACCACTGTGAATATCTGCAAACATTTAGCATCATTTAAAGAGCAGCCTTTTTCAATTTTGTCTCTCCGAATGTCAAGCTGATGAATTAGCAAAAGTGTTTCTTATAATAAAGCAGTGCATGGAAACCAAGACCACAGTAAGACTAGTACCATATTGTAATATGATGGTTCAGAATTTAGATTAGAGTAACGCTTTACAGTACAGTACACAAACCTGTGAGCAGTTACTAAGAATAAAAATTGCATAATTTAACAATTGTTGATTAGTAGTTCATGCATAATTCCAAACTACAGCAGATAATGATGAGTTACTTTGAATTAAAGAATCATTAGATATCGATGAGTTCATAGTTACATGTGAATTGACACGCTGACCATTTTCTTAAATTTAATTACTAAACAAATGTTGTTGTAATCTGTTACAGTTACTGGGGAAAGATTAATTCAATTGTGCCTGATTACATTTGGGGTTTCATCTGAATATTTTTTTGGCTTTATGTTGAATAATATTGATTTTGTTGCTTTGCATGTTTTTCATGTGCACAATGTTTGATGATGCATATTCATGCATATATATCTGTGTATTCACAGCACATATTCATTAATATTCACATCATATATAGATAAATTGGACTTCCAAATACACAGCTCTTACTATGATATTGTAACGAAGGAACTGTTTGCTGCAGAGGTTGATTAGCATAAGTGGTTGTGCCTGATGAGAACTTTGTGAATGATGTGATGAAAGGGGAAAGTTATAGTACTGTATGATTTAATGCCTCTGTAATATGTTAGTAATGTAACTTTCATGTGTACACACTGTACAGCAAGCAGCTATGTAATATGCACAGTGTAGAAGAGGAAAAAGTGTTCTGTGGTAGATGGTCAGAATTCAGTAGAATCAGATAATGGGAAGTGAAAATAAATCCCTGTAGCCGCAGCAGCGGTCACTGTCCAAGGTGGCACCAGTGCAACTATGAAGTGTGTGGGATGAACATAGTTGTGTGTGGATGTTCGTGTGTTTTGGGGATGTAGTCTTTGCTAGTGATGATGTACTCGGGAAGTGGAGGGGGTACTGGAGAGAGAGAGGGCTATTGTTAGGATAACTATGGTGACAGCTGCAAGAAAAAGGATGTCCCTGAGTCTGTTTGCTCCTGTAACACCAACATGTGCAAACAGTTCTTGGTTTATTGATTCAAGAACATGATTATTTCATGTTGTGACTGCAAGTATTTCTGGTCATGTTGTACTGTAATGTACTGTATCATCACAGATGGGACTGAACTCAACTCGGGAAAGAAAATAAGAAGAATTACATTTTTATTTTTAAATGTATTGTTCATTTAACCTATTTTTAAACTTATTGAGAAACAAAAGTCCTGTTTAACAGCGTGTAGAGTTTACATACAACAACAAACAAACAGAAACTCTGCTTCCATTTATTTTTTACATATAATCTGTGGATTTCCCTTCCATTTTGACTTCAAACCGATAATGAAGGCAAAAGTTTTGTATCTCTGTTTTTGTATCTCTGCAAGTCTTCACACAGCGTACGGCCACAGTCTGTCTCCTCATTGTGAGCAGAAATCTCCTAGATGAAATCTGAGTACTTGTAAATGTTCAACAAACTGAATCGTGGGAAGAAAACCACAAACCATTACAAATACTCTAATAGGCATTTTGTGGACAGCTACAAGTATTGTTCATGTTTTAAAAAATGTATACAGTTTTATTTTCTATATTTATATTTCTATATTTATTTTCTTAACATGACTGTTTTAATAATGTTTCAAAGCCTTCTTCACTCTGACAGGAATAAAATGATGGGGGAGACCATGCTTGTAAGTATTTAAAGATGGTGCTTGGAGACTGTTGGCTTATTAACTTGTTCAGATTTGATATTTGGTGATTTCAATCCCAAAGAATTTCTAATTTATTTCTAAAAATAAAAGGCCTTTTATTTTATTCCAAAAATTTTTTTTTTTACCTATAATGAATTGGCAATTTGGTATATTTTCTTAAATTGACAATATAGTAGGAAAGGTTTAGATTTAGTTTTGCATGGCCAAATCTTACAATGAATTTGATGTAGGCTAATTCCTAGAGAAAGACCAAGAACCACCAAGAATCTGGACAAAAGGTCAATTATTGATTTCTTGATATTGATTTTGAAATATGGGCTACCTGCTGCTGGTAAGTCATGTTTTTTTTTATTCTATGTAATGTGGTGTATCTTTTAAAATGATTTTATGGTATTAGTGGGAAATACATTCCTATTCTATTTCTATTTTTAAAAAACAGACGTGTCCAGACCTTTCATATACCACTATCGATGCTTCACACCTTTCTCTTGTGCTCCCTCCTGGGGGCCCTTGTGGGGTGGACCCTCCTGCCCCCCCTCCCTCTGTCTCCTCCTCATTTCAAGGAACCCTACATTGTTGTACGTCTCGGGCCGTACCAAGTGCCACAGAATGTGGGGGTGTATTGATTAGTCCGGCAGTTCAGCGGTTGGACAGCTCCTGTCTGTCCGTCTGACCATGCACCTGGAGCCCGAGGCCCGGCCCGCAGCAACCGCGTTCCGTTCACAGTTCCAGGTCCGGAGGTTTTTGCCCAAGCCCCGCTGCAGTGCCGCTGGGCGATTTAATAAGAGAGGAGAGGAGAGAGAAGACAAGTAGCGCAGAACGCGCAGCGGGCGGACGGCCATTGCCTTTTCCTTTTGCTGCTAATAAAGAAAGCAGCATCTCGGCTGTGCACCACCGGAAAAACAGACAGAGGGAACACCGCACCGAGACCCGCCTGGACCCGCTTCATTGTCTGCGTTTGTCTCTTTGACTGCGTGGACTCTGTGCCAAGATGTCTTTCTTCACCGTACTGTTGTTGCTGCCAGTCCTGTGCAGCATCATCAGCACCTCCAGCGCTGCATCCTCAGTATCCCGTAAGTAGGCTAATACGCACACACGCACACGCGCGCGCGCACACACACGCAGACAGACAGACATAGCCTACACACACACACACACACACACACAGACACACACCGCGGCTAATTTGGTGGGAGCTCTCTGTGCAGTCACGGATGTGGACTATAGTCAGGACTCACCAGGAGGCCAACGCAGCGGCGTGAATCCAGTCACACATGCACTAAATGTATTAATGAAGCCTTCAGTTTAAGTGCATTGTATCTAGCAAATTCTGATCCAGGGGGCACAACAGTCCAGTCGAAATCTGTACACCCCCTCGTGCTGACCACTGCATTCACGAATTATAAGCATTTCACTTACCATGTTTGGGAGACATATTTCACCCCCCCTTAGCAGTTGGATTCAATTTAAACACACATTTATAAGTGGTTTGTAAAACAAGGCAGTTCAATTGTAAGCAGATTTTATTATTGTACTTGGTGTGTAAAATGTTGATAACAAAGCACATCTAAGAGCATGTGGTGTGATCAAAAGCTCCAGAACAGCTAATAAATGGACCTGGAAGGGTTATTGCTTTCTCAGCAGGATGCACTAGTTAACAGGCCTAAGAATAATATATAATGATATGTGATTGCACAGGGTCAAATCCCTGCAGAAAACATAATAAATTGTTAATGTACTTGTACAAATCATTCGCAGTCACTTTAAAACAGTTTAGGAATGAATTAAAAACTATTGAGGGCATTTGATGATAATAGACTATGTATTGTGTAGATCTGCACACAATTAGTGTATATTATAGTGTGTTATGAACCATTTGTTAGTTGTTTATTTACTGCTTAGAAACTGTTAATAGCGATTTATTTTAATTAACAGTTATCAGTTGTTGTGCAATAAAACTCTAGGGGCACTCCATCAATTTTACACATGGTTAGCAACACTCCTTTTTACTGCCTGTAAAATAACCATATACTGTTTTCAGAGGTATTGGAGGGAGCTTTCTTTTTTCTGAAAATTATCATTGAGTCTTGACATTTTTAACAGAAAGTCTGCATGACAAACTGGAGGTGTGGAGTGAAAGATGTGGAACGTCAAGATAGAATAAGATACACAACCCCACGATGCAGGGAAGGACTAATGAATGATGCTCTTGAGTTGCATTATGGAAGTTGTAGGATTCACTGCCCTGAATTACAGGGGGCCCAATATTTAATATTTTGATGTTATGTGCTTTAAAATGTGAAGTACTGCTCACTGTTCCACCAAGTGTCATTTGCACTCTGCTAGCTATGTGTCATGCTGTGCAAAGGAGACACAAGTCCACTTTTTGAATAACAGAATGTTACACAGAGTCATGGCAGAAATCATTTCAGCCAGAAAAATCGATGCTGACTGTGGTCCCACCTCCAACAAACAGGTTAAGTTATAGAGTCAGATGAGAAGGTGGACATGAAGTTAATCTCTGATTGATATGTACAACTGTTTGATACAACTATTTCATCAAATCATCAGATCATCATTTAACCTAACAAAGATAAAAACCCGGCCTTGCATATGAGGACTAAGAGTCAGGATCCCACTGTTTTGACATTCTTCCTGCTGATGCCTCATGTCAAATTGTCTGTATTCACTTTTGTCTTCTTAAAGGCTCAGTTTATTGGTTCAGCATCTTAAAAATCTTAGTTCTTTACCCTGTTCGTAGTGTATCCCACCCAAGTGGGAAGCTTCCGGTCGTCACCGAACGGCCAACAGGGGGCGACTCTTCTCGTTGCAAAAAGAAGTCCGGCTCCATTAGAAATAATGGCAAAATACCCCCCACTTCTCAGCTGAATAATTACCTCAGTAAACACTTTCCTAATGAGTTTATGGTCTCAGTCGCTAGTTTCAAGTCTTCTTCAACACAAAATGTTGTTCATTTAGTAAATTATGGTCCCATTTAGAGGAAAATAGACCATAAAGCAGAGTATGCTTCAGGGCAGGATTATCTATGATTGACAAGTCGTTACCAAGGCGACCTGTCAATCAGGCTAGGGTGACTCTGCTCGTACCCACGGCACTGTGTAAATTTAACCAGCGCTGTTGAAAAAGCATCATTAGGAGTTGGTTGTTTCTCTGGTGAATAGCTACATTTAGTTTTAAGCCTGTTGTTCGCTAGACAAAGTTATCAGCCCTGTCAAAATGACAGTTAACGTGAATTACAGATGCACCTAGCAAAGCAAGCTAGCTAGCTCCACACACGGCCGTTAGCTCCACCGTCTCGTCCAAATATGGTCACGTCCGGTGGTTGCAAAAAATCAACATGGTGGCAGCCTATCGGCCAAACTTGACATCAGCAGTCCACAAACCAACGGGTGACGTCACGATGACTACGTCCACTTCTTATATTATTACAGTCTATGTTCCCACCGCACAGCAGGCGCAATTTTTCTGTTGTTTACAAGCAGACAGAAGTGACAAAGAGGCACCTTCACGTAATACAAATTCAATGGAGAGCGATGAGTTGAGTTCCCCTCCGGTGTGAGGGGGACTTAATTGTGCTCTGTCTCTATGCAGCATCTCAAAAGTCTTGTCTGACTGAGGGGTTACACGTTCTTTAACATACACTGCAAATAAGATAATAGTTGATAATTGTTGAAAAGTACAATTTCTCGTTAGGTATTGTTTTGTTCACCTGTTTGACAAAAGTTGGCATATTGAAAAGGGGAAGTTGTGATTAAGGCTGATGGAAACATATTTTTTTATGTTGATCACCGGACCTGCTTTCATTTATGTCCTGCTGCCACTCACTGTCACAGACCTCCGGCATCCAAGAAACAAAGAATAAAAAGATTCAGGGGTGTAACTGCAACATCCCTGGTTCGTTTCTGGACAGGTCCCTTTATGTTGCGTGTCACCTCCCTCTCTGGCTCCCTATTTAAACAACACAGGGTCAGTATGGATCAGAAGACACAAAGGAATTCATAAAAAACACAAACACCGTTATGGTAAGTCTATCAGAGGTACTGGTGCTCAGTTAATTATGACATCTTGAATCTTTTCTAACTGCAAAGATTCCACAAAAAATCTCTTAAAGTTTGCTTGAAAATGTAATTGGAGCATAATCACTGTTGACAGAGCTAGACTACTACCGTTTCCTCCCCAACTCTATTTTTAATGATATTTTAATCACAGTGAGCGTTGTTGTACAGGAACAAGATCCTTACAAATGCAAAGATGTTCCTTTAGTTTAGGCTAACCCTCTGATGGTCCCTGACACTTCCCTCCCTCTCATACCAATTTAGCGTCACTTTTTAACATCCTGGGTATCCGGTTGCGTTGTTTTTGCATGTGTAGGGCCTTGCGGTCAAGTTAGTTGTAAGAAATATGCAAAGTCTGGTTAGACTTTGAAAATTAAAATAGTGGTTAATGTTATGAAACAGCACGTGCTAATTTGGTCAGGTTTAGGTATCAAAACTGCTTGATTTGGAAAAGGTCATGGTTTGGGTTAAAATAACTACGTTACTTACGTGACTTAATCTACGTAACACCACTTACGTAACTTGCATAACATAACTAAAAGGAATTAAAGTTGAGTTTTTTTTTCACAGGGGAAACAAACACCAGTCTCCTGAGTGAAAGTACTGTTACTGATCCACCTGTCCACCCCAACCACCTCCTTATTTATTTATACTAGGCCTACTTTTAGCATTCAACAATGATCCTAAAGGGCTTCCTCCAGTGCTTTGAGCTGTGACTCTACAGGGCTTCCCACTGTAAAGGGCCATGACCATGCATTCATTTGTGACAACTTGGGTTTGAGAATGTATTTACCCGTTACTTGTAGTGGACTGTGCAGAACAGTAAATTCACCTTTATGCATAGGCTAATTGATAGAACGACTGGTTGCAATCGTGTATGAGTTTCTGCTTTTAGACTGTTCAGCGTCCCAGAATGTGATCGTGTATGAGTTTCTGGAAGTAATGCTTGAATTTTCATTTACCTATTTAACTTAAGCCTGACCCTTAATTCTATCTATTTTGTTTACAGCACACTTTGACAGATGCCTTTTGTTTTATGAAACTCAGCACTTGTCTGCAGCTCTCATTGGGTCAACAGACCAGCTGGTCAGTCTTTTAGGTGCTGAACAATCAGGCATGTCAGTCTATTGATGAATGTGTCTATGCAGCAAAAAGCCATTTTTTATTTGTATGTACAGTGTTTATTTTTTTAAACTTTGCCCTGGAGGTATTGCTATTAAAAACTAGACTATAGATTGCTTTGCTGCCAGGTAGGCCTGAAAACATTTCTCACTTCCAGACTAGAATTGTTTTTAAAATAGTGTAAAGCTTGACGTCTTCGGTACAGAGAGTGGAAGAGTGGATTTGTAGACTAGGCAAGACAGAATAGACGTTAGAAACTGAAACTTCAAGCCTGACTTATTACCAGATCCTCTTTTGCACAGGATCAAGATGACACATGCTCACTACTGAAACTAGACATTTTTGACATTAAGAAATGCCATCTGTACTAGAACGAGATGGTGTGGCATTATTTCATCTTTATTACAGCTTTTACCAAAACATGACGATGCAGTTCCAACATTCCTGATCTCAGGTCAGGTAGGTAGCCAGTCAGCCAGTCGGGGACAGTCAGTCTTTTGGTGGCAAGGGCTTTCATTTGATGTATAGTGAAATGTGATCACATTTGTGAGTTTGTTTGACCGTGTCACAGTAAATGGCAGTAAATGATAAATGAACCATACTTATCCTGTTGGAAACCTCCAGCTATTTCTAGGAAAAACGCCTAAAATAACGTACCCAAAATGAATCAGGACCTCAAACATTTGGCCTACATGCATAATTCTGGTCTCCTTTGAAAGGTCAGAAGCTGAGGAATATAAATCCATTGTATATTAACATATTTATTTTACCATTACAGACTAAATGGAGATGCAATAAAGAAAAAATAGTAAAAAAGCTATATTTTAATGCAATAAACTATCAAAACCATCATAAGATAGATTATAATGCAACTG